TATATATATATAGATTTCTGCTTTTTATCTCTAATCAGATGATTACAGACCTTTTTACCTGAAGCTTTGCCTCTGAGCTTCTCTGTGTTTCCTTAACAGGGCTTACCTGGTCAGAAGGGTCACCCCGGCTATCCTGGATATGAAGGGTCCCCAGTAAGTTATACCTTAACTGTTTTACAAAGTTTACAGTTAGTTTTCCTGAATTAAGGTTCGTTCACACCCAACATGAATTTGGCAGCTGGAGCGAAGGATTCGGATGTTATGTGTGTGTAGAAGAAGCTGAGTGAGGCGTCAGCGGCGAATGAAGGGAGGCCAATGGCGTGATTTTGCCGACCTTGGCGACATCTGATTGAATCCTTGAATGAGATTGAAGTTGAAAAGATCTGAACCTTTGTTTACATTCGCATCAGCAATTCCAGTCAGGGGTTTAATGTGAAACATTTACAGTTTTCATCATCAACATAATTAAGGGAGACAAACTGCCGAGTGAGTGAAATCCATCCATATCTTTTTATTTAACTGGAGTTAATAATTGTATACTTTTTTTTTACCACTACATCTGCCTTTGTGGAAATCAGCAACCAGCAGACTCAATGACATAAGATCCTTTTGCCCCCTGGGGGGGATTTGCTTGCCTTGGGAATTGCTGTCACTGGCCAGGCGAATTTCAAAAGCAGACAAACTGTGTGGAATTGGTCCAGATTTACGGTCATATCTGCGCCGAGTTCGGTGAGAATTCACCAGGAGTTTGCTGTTAATTCCACATGTTTGGCTGTTGCAGGGAAAACGAGGCCCTCCTGGATTACCTGGACCCCAGGGGATCCAGGGATGTCCTGGACCCAGGGGACAGAAGGTAAGGCTACCTGTCCTGGTGTATGGAGAGAGAAAAAGCTGCTACCATTCTGAACCGTCATTCCAAAAGCAGAAAATTAAAAACGATCCACTGGACTTTGTTTCCAAGTTTGAAGACGTTTCACTTCCCATCCAGAAAGCTTTTTCAATTTAAAAGCTTCCTGGATGGGAAGCGAAACTTCTTCAACAAAGTCCAGTGGATTGTTTTTAACCCTATAATGCCAAATGTATCGTATTTGATACATACGGTTTCTGAAATGTTCTGCGTCATTTTGCATAATTTAATGGTAAAAACTTTGCTCAAAAACAGCCAGTAGAAGACTACACAAAAAATTATTTAGACTTATCGCATAGTAATNTTTTGAATTGAAAAAGGTTTCCGGAATGGAAGAGAAAAGTCTTTAAACTGGGAAACAAAGTCCAGAGGATTGATTTATTTTTTTGGAATGACTCTGACCTGGATGACTGAGAATCTTCACCAGCGCGTTGGATCATGTTTTCTGAATTCTAAGCTTTTAAAGTCCTATTAAGCGCCCAAAGGTTCGGTTTGTTGGTGCAGCCGTTCTAAAAACCTGCCTGTTTTTCCTCATTATGATTATAATAAAATATGATTTAAACCAGGAGAAATACATTTATTGGATCCCAGTTAGAGCTGGGCCATAACGCGAAAAACGTACCACGATATCAGCCTTCTATTGACAGCAAAAATTATAGATTTTTATTTTTTTTACCTATTAAAAACAAGAACTAGGGGAAAAAAACAAAGATTTAAATTGTGTTGAATTGTTTGGCTGTGAGAGGTTGAGAGGCTTCCTGCTAATTGATCAGAATTTTGTGTAATTATGGAAACATTTATCTGACATATTTTATATATGTATTAATGGGTTGTCTATAGTGATGCATAGATACTGCTTTATTTACTGGCCAGCCCTATTTACCGTTGTTAGATTCAGATTTTTGTGAGTGAGAAATATTTATAATAAAATCTGAGTATTTTATTTTCACCTTTTGCAGAGTTCTGTAGGAGATCGAATCTGCTGCAATGTCTTTTGTAAATGCTACGGACCCCCAGGACCTCCTGGTACTCCTGGAATGCCAGGAATTAAGGTGAGTGAGGCTGAAACATTATATATACATATGCATAAAATCAAAGCATAAGATTATACAGTATTTTACTTAAAAAGAGCAACATAAAGATGTTAACATTTAATAATATACTGGGCAAATACTACTTGTGTCTTCTATTTGCTTCTTTATTTTATTGTTCTTGAGGTTTTTTTATTGGAACTCGACAAACTACTGGGTGCAGAACGGCCTTCAAGCACAAAGTCACTGCCTAGATGGAGAAAATTATTTGGACAGTTTTCTCTTTTTTTTTAAATGTCCACAAAAAAAAGTCTGCTTTTGAATTTGAGCAGAAACAACAGATAATTACATACAAATATAAGAAATAAAAGGTTAAAAATGATCACCTAACTGAACCATAGTCAGCTATAGTATTTATAGTACTTTATTATTTAACATTCCTGGCCAAGATGGACAAACAGACTACAAACACAGAGAAACAGCGCAGTGTGATTCGCTGCCAAGTAGATCATCTATAGAAGAACAGGAAACTGTTGCCTCCATTCTAGGATGATGTCATAACTGAAGAGAACCAGGGAAGTAACCTGAATCCTCCAGATGGATATGCGGAGCAAAAACCTTCCGTTGAAGTAATTTTGGGAAGGGGCGAAAATACTGGTT